GAGTGGTCACTTAGTTTCCTGTGGGCACTGCTTGTTCATCCTCATAAAGTTCATCATCTTTTTACTCACAAATTCACTCATTATAATTGAACTGCTGAAAAGCAGTTGACCGGAACTTCAGAAATATGTGCTTTCATGGAACAGCAAGGACTTATCTTGTAAGTTACATATGTGCCAGTATTTTGACATCTGCCGGCTCAGCTTCGTTCAGTGGTGGCTGTCGTCAAAAAGACAAAACTCAGTTGTATTTCACTCTCTGTTAGGAGCAGTTATGCTGGGAAAGTAACTGTGAAAGCGAATGATAGCACCTTGCCTAAATGCTGACAAAATCCTCAATGGCTTCTTCTTCAGAGATTTGCTTTAATTCCGAATTAAAAATAGCTCTCGCTTTGGGTATGCATCAGGACCCGTTTTCCTCTGGGATTTATAGAGGTAATTTTCTCGTTCTTAATTGAGCTTGACTGAAGTGCAAATTGTCTTACTGCAGTGCCTTATTTTCCAGTCACTTTTTTACAATTATTTAACGATTTATTGGTTTTTGTGATTTCAGAATTTGTTTTCCGTGTATGATATCGTTTCGAGCCGAACGTATGCACCACAGTTACCCGATGTGCCGTATGAGGTTGATGACGATGACGGTATTGCCGTAAAATTGGTTCGTTTGGTCAAAACTAGTGAAGCACTTGGTGCTACGATAAAGTGTGATGCGGATGGAAGGGTGTTTATTGCCCGAGTGATTGCCGGAGGAGTTGCTGACCGGAGCGGTAACATTCAGGTACGAGTGAACTTCTGTAGTTTTCAATAATTTTTTGTTAAATCACGATGGTACATTCAAAACTCAAATGAATAGGGTGCATGTCGTGCCGTTTTGGTAAAAACTATAAATTGCAGTTTTGCACAAATTTTTCAAAAAATTGCAAACTCGGCCGTTTTATAGTATCTGGACAGAAGAATTTGCATAGAGTAAGGACACAGTCGCAGTGCCATTTGGCAGACCATTACAAATTTCTTGTTTCTTCATTGTTTTTACACTATTCTGTCGAAAATATGTATTTTTTTTCCCCTAAGTAAATTTATTTAAGATGGAAATTTTGGATAAAATTAGCAGTGAACGTTCGAACTTTTTTTTAATATATATTTCGAGATTTTCTTACTATTCCAGGTGGGAGACCGAGTTCTGGAAGTGAACGGTGTGAG